AACAAGAGTGCACAAAGTTCTTTGTTGTTTCTCTCTTTCTCTTCCTCTCTTCCTCTCTCCCTCTCTACCTCTCCCTTCCTTCTTCTCTCTTTCTCTTGACTCTTGATTGTAAATTTACACACAACAAATTCTGTTCACCATCTCATAATATGATGTTCTTCTTTGTATTTTTCCATGATTCCCTTAATGCTTGCTGTTACTTGCCTGATCTGTATGGTCTCAAGTGTAACACAGAAATATTCCACACCAAATCGACATCCCACCCCAAACAACTCCATCAAATGTGCATTTTGGGAAGATATATTTCTTGATAGCTACATATTTTGGGAGGGTATATATTCAAATGTTGAATCAAGATATATTTATCAATGATATCCTGAATCAAGATACATTGGATGACTTTCCATAAGCTTTTATACAAGGAAATAGATTATTTCTTGATATCTTGGCTCTGTTGCCATGTTGCCGAGGCCAAATGGAGACGAAAAATATTCTTTGTGCCTGTTTTCACATCTCAATAAACCTTAATCTGTTCATAGGGTCAGACCCCTCTTCATAGATTAAACTCGCTGGAATAAAACGGTCCCAAGCCAATCTTGGCCTCATCCTCCCCTCATTGGCTGAATCAACCTTTTGTTGTATAGTACATGATAGCCTGTCTACATCAGACACCATAAACATTGTAATTAACTGCAGGGTACCATGCAGCACAAAATATCGGGAACAGAATGATAAATAGCTTGCAGAATGTCAGCTTGAATAGATTAAGCAACTAAACTGAGATTCAATCTCCGATGCGCCACCAAAATATGATATGTAGGATTGAAAACCTTACAGAAAGTCATCCATTATTTTCCAACTATATCGTGCATTTTCCCACTATATTCTCAACCAAGATATATTTTTAAAGTATATCCTGAACCAGGAGATATCTTTTAAATATATCTTGTACCAGGATATATTCACCAGACATATCTTTTAACTATATCCTGAACCAGGATATATCTTTCAACTATATCTTGAACCAGGATATATTCACAAGACATATCTTTCAACTATATCTTGAGCAAGGATATAGTTTTCAACAAACCAGGATATATTCACAAGACATATCTTTCAACTATATCCTGGACCAGGATATCTTTCAACTATATCTTGAACCAGGATATATTCACAAGACATATCTTTCAACTATATCTTGAACCATGATATATTCACAAGACATATTTTTCAACCATTTCTTGAACCAGGATATATTACTGTAGAATTCAGAGAGAAAGGACCATGTATTCAATATAACTGCATAAATTTACAATACTACATTAAATATTAAATCAAGGGAAGAGGGAGTGAGGGAGGTGGTA